CTATTTTCAAATATAGGATGAGTGGTTCTCTATTTTCAAATATAGGATGAGTGGTTCTCTATTTTCAAATATAGTATGGTTCAGCTTGAGAGATCTCAAAAGACTCATTACTGGGAAATCAAATGCTCTGGTTTCGTTTCAGACCATCCCTCTTTCCAGCTCCAGTCAGGTTGCTCTGGGTGGAAGCTTTCCTGGTTTTGTTTCTCGACTCTTAAAGCTTTAAGTCTTTTTTTTTTCTGTCGTGGATTTTAGCTTGACAGGAAAATACTGCAACTGGAACATGTGCTGCTGTACCTGAAAGCATTAATTGGTTTTGTAGGCGGTTGTCTTCTGGGTTAGAGTGACAGGAAGGTGCTGAATTCTGACACCTGAAAGTGTTGACAATACTGGGATTTTTTTTCATGAACCATTCTTACCTGTTGCAATTATTTCTGTATTAATTAGGAGCCCTCCTTTTGGAGGAGCTGGCTTCAATTTTATACCTTTTTGGTGCACTCATGCACTGGGATATTTAAAAATTGAGTTTAACTTGCAAACCGTATCCTCATATATTTAACAGACTAAAGGAAAAGCTCTTTTTAAGAACTAGTTGAAAGCAAATGTGATGTTACAGGGATGGTCAGTGTGTGTCTTTTTGCTGTTTTACACTTTTTGGTTACTTTTAACACCTTCTTCTGCAGAAGAACTCAGTAGTTATTGCCTCCACAGGTGTATAAGCAAGAAATTATTTGAGACCTCAGGCCTGCAGGTGTCTGAGCTTTGTGTCTGAGCTGCTTAACTCCCTCCTCTCCTGAGTGGGCTAAACCTTCATTCTTGTATTTCTCGAGTGTTTGCTTGCTTGGCTTGCTGTCATTATTACTAACTTGGTGCTCTTTGATAGCATTTCTTTGTTCTCTTATTCTGGAAATGATGTGATGTCCATTCCTTCACAGCCCCTTGATCAGCTCTGGGCACAAGGGCTTCACTCACAGCTGGTGTTGAGTGGGGGAAAAGGTCCCAAATGCAGGGAGTTATCCAAAAACTTTTTCAAGTGGGTGATTTCTGTTATAATGGGTGACTTTGAATAAAGTGGTGAATGCAGTGGGAAGGTAAACATGGTATAGGAGCTGTGCAGTTGAATTGATATTTCTCTGGGCTGAGGATTGTTCCAAAGGAAAGAAATCGGTTGGATGCAAAGTCAGCGAAGGGATCTGTGGGTGAAGTGTTTTCCTGCTCTCCTGTATCACAGAAGGGCCTCATGACATTCTCAGTGGGTTTTGTTTCTGATTGTGCTGTCCCTGACATAAGTTACCTGATTCTGTTGTTAAAAACAACCCTTAGATTGTTTTTTTTTTTTTAATTGTGGGAGTCGGGAACGTTCCTGTTCCTCTGCCACGTTTTACATTTGCAAACCTGGATGGCAGTTGGAAGTCGTTGGCTGGCAATTCCCAGTTGGATTTTATGGGCAGAAGTCCCAGTTGGCAGCAGTTGCCTTCTTTACTGCTGGGCAGAGGCAGAAGGAGTCTGGAGCCCGAGGAAATTGGGCAGTTGGCAGGACAGGGACTGTTTGTGCCTCTGTTACCCGACTCCCACCTTGAGTGGGGAGGAAACCAGCAGAGCAAAGACCCTTCCTGGGTTGGGAGGTAAGAGTTGAGATGGAAGGACTGTTCCCTTCTCCCTGCCAAGTCCAAGAGAACTTGGAAAAACAATGCTGATATAATAAAAAGGACTAATTTTAATTTTTTGAAAGATGTATGCTATGACTTGCAGCCACACCACGAGCCAGAGGTTTTTACCCCCCAAACTTGGAGTATCTGCAGAAAGCCTGACTGAATGTTGCTCGTGATTGAAACACACCAGTCGAGATTTATGTGTTTAATCAAGAGGGAATAATTCTAAAATTGATTCTCCCCTGCCCCCAAAACTGTTTGTGTATTAGTCTAAATGTATTTGTTGTGATACAACACGTCAGGATTTATAACTTTCATACAGTTCAATAGCGGAATTTCCAAATATAATTAGAGGGTTAAAGGCATTTAAAGAATAAAAGCACTGTAATGACATTCAGCTTTTATTGACAACCCACTAATATCTGCTGCATTCACATAAAGATTTCTAATGGAATCCTGGGAGCAGATGAAAGCTCTGCTGTTGAAAAGCTCGATGCAGATTCATCAGCTCCGCTCTGGGAATGCAGATGGGGAGCTCTGAACTCCCCCAGCTCAGGCCAGTGCTGCTCTTTGTTTTACAGGGTATCACATTAAGAGCTGGAGTAAGGAGATAGATGGCAGCAGACTGAAACATTTATAAGGAGTTATTTTGAGTTACTAGGTGAATGTTTTCAGTTTTCCAAAAACTGTAACGTTGCTGCTTTTGAAAGAAGGAATTTCTCTTCACTCACCTACCTGAGGTGTTTGCAAGTACCTGATTTGTGACCAGTTAAAAGAATTGTGGAGAAAGCTAAGTGTTATAAGATCCTTTCTGGCTTTTGCCTGTTTAGGATCTAAGAAATATTTTATTTTTTTTTTTTTAGATACATAGAATCCTAGAATGGTTTGGATGGGAAAGGACTTTCAAGACCATCCAGTCCCACCCCCTTCCACCAGCCCAGGTTGCTCCAAGCCCCATCCAGCCTGGTCTTGGATGCTTCCAGGGATTCTGGGGCAGCCACAGCTTCTCTGGGCAACCTGTGCCAGGGCCTCCCCACCTTCCCAGGGAAGAATTCCTTCCCAATATCCCATCTAACCCTGCCCTCCTTCAGCTTAAAGCCATTCCCCCCTGTGCTGTCCCTCCAGGCCCTTGGGAAAAGTTCCCCTCCAGGGACTTCCTTTATGTGACAAAACATCTAATAAAAATGGTCTTTAATCTGAATGTGTTTGGGTTTATCCTCTGTGGGGGCTCAGTTAAAACAAGTTCCACACTGTGCTCTTGTGCTTTCCGTGGTTGGACACTCAGTCAGAAATTTGGAGCTGGGTCTTTTTTAACAGTTCAGTTCCTACCAGAGGTGAATTCTGGGGCATTCAGGTGATTTGGGACACACCCAGGGGTTTGCAGAACCTGGGAAGGGAATCTGGAAGAAGGAACATTCCTCCTGTCCCAGGGATCCCTGCTCAGGCAGTGGGATGAGCTGTGTTTCCACCCCTCTCCCAGGGAATGGCTGTGCTGCTCGCTGGCTCTTCCTTTATTTTTCCACAGAAGGGAAGAGTGGAAGGCAGGGAGGTGATTGGCAGCCCTGAGAAGTGAGATAGGATCACTTCATGAATTTATGGAATGTCTTACAGCTTTATATACAAAATTATTCATATAAGACCATTGGAGAAGTTGCTGTTACGGTTGTGAATCCCAAATAAAGCTGTCATTTACTTCTCAGCATCCTCTTGCATTAGCATAAAAAAGCTCCCTGAAGTGGCTGAGCAATTATTCTGCTTTGCTTTAAACTTAAGGTGGCCTCAATTTACTGGGATTTTTTTGGTGTTTGTTTGTTTGATGACAAATAAGATGTGTCTGTATTTCCTTCTGTTTGCTGGTTCTCAAATGAGATTTCTGAAACAATGGATTGGTGGAGGCTGTAACACAATATCGTCAGCACAAATAAAACACGGGCTGGGAATAAAATAGCTGCTCTGGTCTTTTTCAATAAGTTACAAGATACATTTCTTGTGGCTTTTTGTTGATGAACTTGTTCTAAGTATGTGATGACAGAGCAAAGGGCCAAGGACTGAACCCTTGATTTAGTGCTGGATCCCTCTTGGGAGTTGTGTTTATGTAAGGATTGAGTTTAAAAAAAAAAACAGTGGGGAGGTTGCAGGGTTTTAGCAGGAGAACTTGCTGGGATGAAGGGAAATATTTGGAATTAACATACTGCTTGTTAAGTAGTGCATTATATGATGTGTGTCCAAGGGAAATTTCTCTGCTTTTCTTCTCCTCCCGGTTGAAAAGTGGTGAGAGGGAAGAGACAAGTGACTGAAATTAGTATTGATTAACAGATTGAAGAGCAGGAGCATTCACTTTTTAATTGTTAGGCTAAAGAGCAGGGGCTGCCTGGTGCTTACACAGTAACACTCTGGGAAATTCGTGGGTTTATTCCTGGGATTGGGATCGTTTTAGCTCGGTGCACGTGACCAGTGTGGGGCACAGAGGGTGCTGAGAAGATGCTGCTAAATTCTCTTGTGGTTTTTTTATGTCTTTCAGGACTTGCAGTGAATGGAGGAGGACACTTTTTACTAGAGGTTTAACTCGTCTAAAGATATCAAGGTAGGAGAATTTTTCCTTCTTACAGTCCCAGTTATTGAATTGTTTAAATACAATTGCAGTTGTCTTCTGTTGTTTCTTTGTTGGTCTGTGATCACTTGGAATTGGAACATGGAGCAGGAGGGGCATTGCCTTCCTATATCAGTTTTACTGATTTTTATCCTGATTGCTTCTGTATTTAGAGAAAAAGATGTAGGAGTTTTCACATATTAGTATTTGATCATTCTCTGTCTTTCCCTACTGGAGGTGATCAACAGGAAAACAGATGTAATAAAATTATATGTAGGATTTTATGTTACTGAGTTCATTTTAACTAAAATATTGATACTTTTTTGTAAACAAAATGTATAATAGGGACACTGCATTCTATAGAAATATACTTTGGTATCTTAATTGTTTCAAGGCTTTTTTTATATAAAATCCAAAATACTCTGTGTTCTGAGAAAATCTCCAGTGCTTGCCAGTGGATTGAACTTGACTTCTGTATTGAATATTCTTGAGACTTGGGCAGGTTTGCAGAACAGGCTTACAGCAGCTCCTTAATTAGGTCTGTATCAAAGATGTATTTTTGATTATTTAAAAATGAAGCAAATAATTCACATTTCCTCTAGTGTCTGAGCAGTGAAGTGCTGTAACATTTCCCGACACTTTATATGTTGCCTAGTTTTTTGTTTTCATTTTCTGTCACACCAGTGTGTCTTCAAAAGTAACTTCAGATTGAAGGGAGCCTTGAACAGAACGTGCAGTTTGGAGCTGGTGTGGTTTTGACTGATGGGTTTTTGGCTGCTCCGTGTCTTTGCCAAAAGTTTAAATGCAACAATCTCGCTGCACTTCAGTCTTGTGGTGGTTTGGGGCAGAATCAGCGTTGTTGGTCCTGGCAGAGGGAGGGTTGTTGATTCCAGCTGTAGGAAGTGCCTTAAAATTCCTTCCAAGGCAGTTTAATTCGACTCAACTTGTGCAGGATTGTGCCACGTTTTAGTTCAGGCTTAGATCCCTGTTCACGTGCTTGTTGATGGAGGCAGCTACTAATAATGTTTAAAACATGATTTTAGCTGTTCTGGGCAGCACAGAAGGCACTAAAAGCCTTGCAGAGGAGTTGCTGGAAGTGAGGTGATGGCATTCCTAACTTCCCTGTGGTTATCGTTGTTCTCCAAGGCTCTATAATTGACATTGTATATGGAGACTGGAAGAGTCCCTCAGGAATTGTCTGTATCATTAATCCAGAATTAGAAACCAGGTTATGCAAAATGACAAAGCCCTGTTCAAAATTAAATTTCCTTAATTTCAAGGTCACCACATTTTGATGTTGAAGAGAGAACTGGTTCTGACTTTTGACTTTCTCCTCGTGAGTGATTGCATTCTTTCTGTAGAGTTTCTGATCTTATTTTAAGTCAGTGGTAAATCCCAACACTTAAATAAAAAGCATTGCTGGAGAAAGCCTTTTCCCAGAAGAGTGAATTCAAACTTTGACTGAGAGTTAAGGTTGCAGGGTGCATTAGTTGGTATTCTGTGGTTGGCAGGGTTATCTGCTGATTGTTGGTTGAGAGTGGTGAGTTCCTCTGAGCTCAGAGTGAGTCATGAGCTGTCTGTCAGTGGCATCTCTCCTGGAGCAGTTGTGCTTTTATTCTCCATCCTTCTTACTCAAAGCATGACTGTTCTAGACAAAGGGAAAAACAATCCCCTGTAAGCAGAAGATGAGGAGCTCAAGCCTGCCCAGAGCTGAGGGATGAAGGGTGGTGTCCTCCTGCCTCCCAGCTCCAGGGGCTGCTGCAGTCTCCGTGGCCAAGCTCTTTAGCCCTCTGGAAGTGCTGTTTTCCAAGCACAGCACCACAGTGAGCTGTTCCTCAGGCTAAACTGTTTGGGTTTTGATAATAACACGGTGCTTGTCTCCTTCCTCTCGGGCTCTAACTGTATAAAAATTACCTGTGAACACGAACCCCACAGACTTTAAGTGAACATCATCACCACAGACTCATCAAGGAATGTGTTTGGCCACATTCACCTTGGGGCTGTTGTTGGGAACTCCACAAACACGGGACTATTACCATGTTATACTCTCAGAATTGCTTTTTAAGTGGGGCATTACCAGCTGCTCTATTTGATAAAATAAAAGCAGAGGTTGAAGCTGCTTCCCTGTGAGACGTCGTCATGTTGACCTGCCCACGTTTTTCCAGTGGGGATGCTGGTTTTGGTGTTTTATGGATGTATGTTTATGTATTTCCATCAAAGATAGCTGGAGAAGCAAAGAAAGTGGGGGCATATCAGGAGAGAGCACAAGTTCCAGGGGTCAGTGCAGGATCTGTAGGAAAGACAGTCAAGATGCCAAGTATTTGAGGAAGGGCCCGAGGGGATGAACATCAAGCCCCCCATCCCAAATATTAGTCTTCAGGCTTTTGTGAGGGAACAAACATCAAACAATTCATTTTTGTTCACATACAGTTGTTCTAAAGCCTATTAGTTTAGAGAACTTCGTTTAATAAACTCTTAATTGCTTAAAGACCTCTAATTGGTAGGGTTTAGTCCTTTTAGTTCCTTTGTTGTTTTCCTATTTCCAAGTAATCCTCGAAGTTCTTGGCATGCTTGCTGGGTCCCAACAATGCTGTTTTCATTCCTGAAGTTCCTGGAAATATTTCATCTCTGAATTTTGCTCCCGTGTGTTTAAACTGCGCACGGACCCAGCTCACAAATATGTGTTTCTTTTGACTTCGGTGTTGTTGTAGTCAGTTATTCCCACTCCTGGGGTGAGTCAGGGTGTTCTGGGAGGCAGAGTTTAATGGATTGGATCATCATGGAGTTCAAGGAGCTTCTGCCAGCCCCTAATGGTTCTCAGTGGTGACATGTGACAGCCCCAGTCCTCCCGTGAGCATCCAAGTGTGGCTTTAAATGTTCTCTGTCCCCATCATTGGGCTGTGTCTCAAAGCCTCTTGAATTTCACGACAGTTTAAAATGAGAGTTCAGCTTAAACTCTGAATAATTGATTTGAGGAGCATGGGAAGTTTCAGTCTGGCAGCAGTTACAGATTTCTGTGTACAGTATGAGTTGTATGTGGAGTAAATGCTTGAAAGCCAAACTCTGTTGTGTGTTTTCCTTTCATTTTTCAATTTCTTTCATCTTGTGATAATTAGCTTTAGAAATCTGTCACTTGTATAAAAAAAAGTCCTTGTTACCTCTTCCTTCCCGAAGCTTGACTGCTCTTTGAAAGTGGTTCGCTAATTTATGAAAGGTTAGATTTTCTGTTCACAAAAATGTTAATTTAGGCTTTACATGTTGTTAAATCCTGAAAACTAATACTCAGAAAGGTTCCCTTTTTTTGGCATCTTAATATGAGATACTTATTATGCACACTTATTAATTTCTACTGTGGTGAGTTCAGCTTTGCTCATGAAGAGAGAGAATCTCATGCTCCCAGGAACCTTTGAGGTGGAATATTTTATGAGGAAGGAGTTTTTCTGTTATTTTGCATAACTGAGTGGATTTTCTCTCAAAGGACTTTGTTGGGGTTTTTTTTTTGTTTTTTGTTTGTTTGTTTGTTTTGTGTTTTTGTTTGTTTGTGGTTTTTTATTGTTGTTGTTTTTAAAAACACATGAGGAGTCGTTCTTTTAAAAAAATTTCTTTCCATCATTCTTTTTGGGAATTGAGGGAAGGTTTACTGGGGCATGTGATGCCTCAGGATCTTACAAAGTGGACAAAGGAGATGAATAAAGGAATGAGCAGTGAGACTCTCATTGAAAAAATGTGTTTTTATAGAAGTTTGCTAATACGTTTACTTTATCAGTATAATGTTTTGAGAATTTTTGACTCCATAGTGTTCATAAACTTCTGTTGAATATTATGAAGGTCCTGGAAGCAAATTGTGTCTTCATTTGCTGCTGCCTGACCCAGCCAGGGAGCTGATGGGATCCCGTGGGCTGGCACAGAGGTGTTCCTGTGCACAGGCTTGGACTTCACTCTTCAACCACAAATTAATATCTGAAGAGGCAGCTGCCAGAACTGTTGAACCACCTCCAGTTTGGCAGTAAAGGCTTTTTTTTTTGTTGTTGTTAAGTTGTCCTTTTCACCCATTGAGTTAAAGCTCTGCTGTGCTGCTGAAATTCAGGAGCATCCTTGTAAAGCACAGCCTGGTTGGGCCTTCTCCTGGCTAAAATTTCACTTGTGAACATGTATAAAGAAATCTGTTTCTTTTACAGTGTTTGGAACACCAAAATGTTTACAGTAGCTTGATTTCCTACCAATGCCTGTCCCTTGTGGGTATTTTCATTACGGAGGCAAGAAAGGAACTGAAAACTTAAAGGGGAAATAAAATTCTTAAGAAATGTGCTTTTCACATGTAACTTGTTGCATTCCCTTCCTCCTTTTGTAGTTAGAAACTTGTGGAAAAAACCCAGAGTTCTAATCTGAGGATATACATTTAATAGCTTCTCATATTAACGTGCACAAAACTTGCCAGCAGTGGCTCAGCGATATTTGTCCGACTCACTGAACATCAAACACCCTTTTGAACAAGAGCTTAGCTTTGCTAATCAGCTTTCTATAAAGAAATAATTTTATTTTTAGTGAGGTGATCAGAGAAGAGGAAAATACAGGGATCTGGCTTTCTGCTGGTGGTATATGGGCGAAAAAAAAAATTGCTGTGATTTTTAATTCCGTGTTTTTTCTATGAAAAGAAACCAAACTGACTTCTGTGGGCTGTAATAATGTGTAGCCACCCAAAATGTGAAGTGGTTTTTGCAGCCTGTCTGCAAACTCTTGTCTTAAAATTAAGAAAACAAAGCAATAGGCCTTAGTCATTGCAGAGGATTTAATGAGCTGTCCCAGATTTGTTGGGGCTTAGTGCTCAGTGTAAGGTTGCAGTGCTCAGTCTGCCTCTACCTCCCTCTGCCTTTGGTTTTTTTTTTTTTTCCCCTCATCATATTTGTGCTGCTGCCTCCTCATGCTCCAGAAACTGCTGTGGATTGTGTATTTAATTGAAATGTAAGATTTCTTAGAGGATAAAACAACACTTGGCAGAGTGTGTGGGACATAAAGCAGATTCTTGAGCTGTTTGTTCTGAAAAGGCATCGTAGGGGTTGTACCTTTTTATTCACCTGCTGATGCTGTTTGGAGACTGGTGCTCACACAAGTCTTCATTAGGTTTGGTTAATTCAAGTTACAGATGAGAAGATAAATGACCAATAAAGTGTAGGAGCTCGAATTGATGACAGTTATCCCGTGGCAGTGGAGATGGGAAGGATCCCCATCAAATTCCTGCAGCTTTTGCTTCTGCTGGCACAGGGAATTAACCTGGGCTGGGAGATGCATTGAGGAGCTTGTTGGGGGGTGAAGAAATGCCTGATCCAGCTCCTCCTAATAATGTAATGCCATTTGCTGTTTAATCCTTCTAATTCCATGAACTAATACAAGCACCAGAATTTTTAATTTCGAGTGCTTATTCTTAAACGTTCTTTCTGGCTCAGTGTCAGTGAACAGAGGAAGAGCTGTGACCACGTTTGCTCAAAGCCACGAAAGGACGTGGTCGTGCATGAAAATGGAAACCAGCAGCTGGTTTTGGTCACCTGTTGAACCTGCTGCTCTGTGATGTGAAAACCTCACTCAGGATGTAAATCTAGTGAGTGCTCACACTCAGAGCTCCTCACCACTGTGTGTGGGATGCAATGAGAAACCACGGCAGGAGCTGCTGCTAAACCGAAATCAGAGAATCAAAGTGGTTTGGGTTGGAAAGGACCTTCAAGATCATCTTGTCCCACCCCTTGCCACAGGCAGGGACACCTTCCACTAGACCAGGCTGCTCAGAGCCCCATCCAAAAGACCTTTCCTTCCATCTCCCACCTGGGATGCTTCAAAGGGGACCTAAACTTCATTTAGGAGTCCTGGGAATGAGCTCCTTGTGTTTTGGTGGCCCAGGTGATGCTCATGCAATTCATAGATGCAAATGAAATTCCGGTTCTGCATTTGCTGTTTGATGTTCATCTGTGCACGAATCCATTCTTGCACACAGACAGGCCCTAAAATCTGCTTGTGAGATCTGATAAGTGAGTGGGAACTTGTGGAAGTCAGGACAGGCTGGAGTTGCTGTCACCCTCCTGCGCTGCCTCAGGTTTGGGATGTGGGTGCTCCAGGCTGCTGCCCTGGAATGCTGGTGTCTCTCAGTGAATAAATCATATTCAAAGGACTTTCAGTGGCTTTAAATATACATAAAAAGCTCTTTGAACTGGATATTATTGTATTAATAGACTTGAAAATATCAGATAAGTGAAGAAACTCAAGATGGCATTTACTGAGCATCCTCCAAGAGGAACCTCATATTGTTACAGGGAAAAATGTCATTATTTATTTCTACAAGATGAATGTGTTACCTTGTAACTGTGGAAGATCATGTGTACAATAGAAGGAAAATTGTGGTTTATTGTATGTCCTGATCAAAGACTCTTTACAATCCTTTTGGTCTGGTTTGGAGCTGCTTTTGTTGGAGGTGTTTTGATGCTTTACCTGCTTTAATAAGTGGCTGTTCCCCAGCACAGGCTGTCACTGTGCCTGGTGATCCCAGAGACTCTTTTATCTTCAGCAGCACTCAGACAACCTTTTTTTTTTTTTTTTTACCTGAGACATACAGAGCAAGGAAAATGTAGGGATAATGTTTCTGTTTGATTTTTTGCATCAGTTACTCCGGGTTTGAGTGACTTGTCTCCTCTCGACAATTTATTCAACTCACAGAAGAATTTGACAGTCAGCCACAGCTGGAGTCGGGGTTGGTGTCAGCAGGATTGATTTTCTGAGCAACAGGAAGGGCAGCAACTCCTTCTGATGGGTTTGGCTTTAACAGAGGTGGCAAATGGAGGCAGTTTGCAAAATGCTGAGTCTTTGCCCCTTCAGTGTGGTGATAATTCAGTCAAACTATTTGACAAAATAGGCAGGTGCTGGAAGTAGCCTGGAGAACTGAAAACAAGCTGAATGGTGGGCTTTATGTGGATGCTGATTTTTGTTGTTAGAGACTGTATTGGCAAAGTAATTTTTTGTCATTTTAAGTTTTTCTCTCGGGTTTAGCGCTTTTTTACCGCTTCTCCATCACGGTTTCCTGTTGTCCAAACTGGAGTTGGTTTTGATTTTTGTCCATGTGTTGTTCTGCTTTTCGCAGTGTTTGGGATACACCGAGTGGAACAGGATCAGGATCACCATGTTTCGAAACAGTCTCAAGATGCTTCTCACAGGAGGGAAGTCAAACCGCAAAAACAGGTCCAGTGGTAAGTAACCATCACCTCCTCGAGTGTGGGACAGTGACAGCTCTGCCACCACCCCTTCCATGTGTGTTTTGGGCTTTTCTTCTTGTTAATGAGCACATGGACTCAGCTGATGATCTCGTAGGCTCAAAACATCATTACACTTCATTTTAATGCTGTGCCGTGATTTTAATATTTGAAAATACATGTATATTTATTTAAAGGGTATGTAAACCATCATCCGCTTTTATTGGGGAGATGAGATGTAGGGAAAAACAAGGAGTAAACAAACATCAAGGTTCGTGTTTTGGTTGTGGAAAATAAGAAAATAACTTTTTCCCCTGTTAAAACGCCTGTGATAACTTGTGGCAGTGAAATCTGCTTTGTTACAGACAAAACTGGTGATGGCAGCAGCAATTTCTTTTTTTTTGTTTGTTTTTCTAACTTTTAAACAGGAGGGAGAGAGAGGACTGGGAAGAGGTGGAATCAAAAGAGCGATTGCCCAAATTTGGTCATCGTTTCTGTCAGTCTCCTTTTTCCACCATCCCAAGAAAGGAGTTTACAATTAGCACTGGTTGATGTGGCTTGGCCTGTTTGATCCGTGATGGAGGTTGGGGGAGATTGTAATTGTGAAGCAAAACATGACAAAAATATTGATAGGCTTGAAAAACGTTTTTTTTTTTATTTAACTTTTGTAGTTATTTCCAAAAATGGAGTGTTGGCAGGGTAAGAGCTTTTAATTAGATCTTTCATTTCGATTTTTTTTTTTTAAGCCATCTGGCAGCACATTTTAAATATTTTGGGATACAGTGTTTATTTGTGCTCGTGCATCTGTGTAAATAGTGCATATGGATGTTCCTTGGGAAACCACGAGTGAGGATGTGGAGATGCAGTAGTGATAAATTCAATGGAAAAACGGGCTGTTTTCCTTTGGGTGAAGTGAGTTATTATGTGTTTCTCACATTACCAGAATTTGCCCCCTCATTTTTAATGTGTGCTGAGAGTCCTGGGTGTCTTGGTTGGATCCTGAAGACATTTTCATGAGAAGTTGAAGCAGTTCATCCTGGTTTTGTGCTTGGTGTGGATCTCAAAGCAGGAAGAAAGCTGTTTTGCCAGGATTTCTGTAGGAATTCTGACTCGAGGTGGTGATTGTCATCCATGGCTTTGTAAAGGATATTTTCCTTCTGTAAGAACTCCTCAGTGTTCTGCTGCAGGAGTGGTTTATCCAAGGGAGGGACCTGCATGGAAAGGCAGGTTTGGGGAAGCCCCACGAGCAGATGGCTCCATCCTCTTGGGATTTGTGTCACATTGGCAGTTTAAAGCCCAGGAAAGGACAAGGCCTCTGATACCTTTGGAAAACAACACAGACAAATAAAGTTGTGGTTCCTGTATGAAGCCCTCTCTTTTGTCACATGGTCTGTTACCAGACCCTATTTTTCCTTTTGCCTTGTCTCCCTGAGCAATACTGAGGATTTTGTACATGCACAGCTCTGCAAATGTGTGTTTGTTGTTTTGTGAATGGAAAATGTCAGTTCTGAGCAGAGGAGATGGGTTTTTTCTTATTCGTATATTGAAAAATAACATGACAGAATTTAATAGATGAGGTTTCTTCTAATGCCTAATGACTGCTGTATGTTTAATTTATTACAATTCTGCCTTTGAAATAAGTTGCTTTATTGAGAATTCCGTTTGACAGTCTTCAGGGCAGGAGGGGGAATAGGAAAAGGAGATGATCAGGTTTGTTGTATTAATGGTGACTAAATGGAAAACATCCCTCCACTGGAAAACAATTTTTCAGATAAGCCATCAAACTATAACAGGACATTAGATGAATTCATTGCTGCCTAGATTTTTTAAAAATAAATATATTGAATTCTGTATTTCTTTGCAACACAGTAAGGACAAAAATCCATAAATCTTCCACATACATTTCTGTGTTGCATTCAGCATTATAAGCCTAAAATTTGCTTTACTTATTTGCCTTGCAGTTCTGGCAAACTACAAATTTGATACTTTAAAAGCAGATAAAAAGGAGAGAACTTTGCCAATAGTATACAAAAGGCATTTGTTACCCTGTCACTGACAGGACCTTGAGGAATCTCCCACCTCCTGGAATAAATTCTAGAATGGTTTGAGTTGGAAGGGAGCTTAAAGATGATCCAGTGCCACCCCCTGCCGTGGCAGGGACACCTTCCACCAGCCCAGGTTGCTCCAAGTCCCATCCAACCTGGCCTTGGACACTTCCAGGGATGCAGGGGCAGCCACAGCTTCTCTGGGCAACCTGTGCCCACCCTCACAGTGAATGCACCTGTCTAAAACCTGGGTGTTCTTTCTGTTTTACTCTTTAATTTTCACGTGGTCAGTGCAGACCTTCAGGTCCCTCCACCGGTGTTGCCTTCACTGGTAGGATTTTGTCTGGGCACTTTCCGTGGGGACACTGAGGGGTTTTGGGACTTTCCCCTGTTCAGGTGCTTTAAAAAGATAAGGTATTTATTGACATTTTAAATTTATTTATCATTACAAAGATGTAGAATGTCCATTAGAAGCTGGAATGAAGCCTCCCTGATGGTTTTGGTGCTCTGGTTTGTCCCTGTGGCCTCAGAGCTACGCCCATCTCTGGGTGGAAAACTGGGAATAAACTCCAAGTCCTGAGTTCTGTGTTGGGAAAAATCAGTCTGTTGGAGGTGTCAGGTGTGCCTGAAAAGGAAGATTCACCTGCCATGTGCTGAGTTAAGGTTCTGTGGGTGGGTGACAGCCCACCAGGGTGTCTGTGTGTGTGTGTTCGTTTCCTGCACTCCCTTCATTTTGCATTCCACTGTGGGAATAAACCTTTGAAGCAGGTGAAAGGTATTGTGTTCTTTTCTTGGGGAATCTAAGGGAAGCACAGTGGCCTTTGAAATTCCTGTGCTTTGCTGTGTCTTTCATTTGCAGTAGCAGTTCCCAAACAGGGGCAGTGGAGTCAAGCTAACAATTCCGAGAGGCTCTGATGTGGTTTTGATCCTTCTTCCTGATTAAAAGATCCCCGGTAGTGGTAGCAGTAAAATGCCTTCTTATTATTCCTCCTTCAGAAACTGCTGAGCAGATTCTCTAAGAACTGTGGTTAACATTTATTTGGACTCAGCCAGGGTGGGTTTTCCCCTCTGGTACTCGATGGTGTTGTGGTTCAGGAACACACAAAATATTTTTGTAAGAAGAATACGGTTACGTACTCTGAACATACAGTTGCATGCAGTAATGCCAATTAAAATAAGTGGATTTCCACTGCAGCATCAGACTGTGTAATGCCCTGTGGTTAAATCTGGGGGTCTGGGTGTCCTTTCAGAGCTTCACTCCTGGGGTTTCACAGTGCTCAGTCCATGTGTGTGTGAGCACATATTTAATCTCTTGTCTTAACAAAAATTCTCCTGTGACTCAAGGGCACTCAGGATGGTTTACAGTAATGCCTTGAGGACACATTATGCCTGCAATAGTGTTTTGATTAGGCTGTATTTCCTTCTGACATAAATGGATATTCCCCAAAGCTGCCAGACAGTGTCTGCAGCGCTGAAATGGGAGCTGAGCAGAGTTACAGATCACCTTGGTTTTCCCACTGTAAATTAATTTAGAGAGATGCAGACACACAAGTTCTCTGACTCATGTTTGTATCCAGAGTTATATTTATGAGGGATGTGTTTGTTTTAGAGTGTCAGAGGACTCTGCTTTGTTCCATCCTGTTATTCCTTCTGGCCAAAAGCTCAGTGGCCAGGGCAGGCAGGTGCATTAAACACCTTCTCACTGCTGCTGCTTGGAGTGTTTGAGGCTTCTTTCCCCCTAATTGAGCCCTTCCAGGGCAATTCTGTTCTCTGAATCCATATTCTGGAAGGTTCTCTGGTTTTATTTGTTTGTCCAGGACCTGTCTCATATTTATCTTCAGTTTTTTCTTGCTTGTTCTAATCATTCCTTGCTCTAGGTGTGTGTTCCAGTGCTGCACATCACAGCAGTGCACTCATGGATTCACTCCAGGATCCTGTTAGGGAAATAAGCCCCTCTAATGGATCCAATCATTCCACCTATTACAGTTATCCTGGTTCTTTTACAAGCAGATGGACTATTTCCTTCTTACATTATCACATTAAATTAATACCACTGTAAGAGCTCAGATTCCCTTCAGAACCTGGTTGAAATTCAGCTGCAAAACTGGAGGTTTTGTTTGGTTTTATATTTCTCTCCACTTTGTGAGGTGTAAGCCCAGGAATTTGTGCCTTTTATTTCTGGCAGAGGCCGAGATAGGTTTTTAAGTACTCATCTTTTTTTTTTTTTTTCCCCATGTTAAATTTATCTGAGGCATGTAATCCTTAGCCCAAAGGGCCTGCTTTTCTCTCCTGAGTTAGTCAGGAATTATATCCTGCTTGTTCTTAACTCTAAAATGCACAGTTTTTATCTGGAGCTTCCCAGCCAGGAGCCTGCCTGTCATTCAGGGTATTTTTGGTGCAAGGTTTTTTAAAACCTGTTCTTCTTTCCTGGTTCACAGAAGACCCAATTACTTCTCACTTCCAATGTATTTATAGGGCCTTTTGGAACCTGCCACTTTATATTTTAATTCCAGGACTGAAAGAGCCCCTGTCAAATGCTCTTCTCCTTTGATTCCTGCCTTTGGAAGATAAAAGGCATTTCTGTGAAGGTCTCATTACTGCTTGGCCAGAACTGCAGGCACTTTCTCATCTATCTGATCTCTTTTGGAAGTCTGAGGATAATTTTTGCCCCAAAAGAGTTTGAGGGTCACAATTGCTTTTTCGATTTCATTTCTGAGAGAAATTGCTGAGTGATGAGATCCAGCTGGTGGGTCCTCTGAGATGTCAGGTAACTTAATTTAAGGAGGTGTTAGAAGTGAGGTGTTAAAAGATCTTAAAAGTATTATGGCACTGAATCCCGACTGTATCCACGTGTTCGAGGCACTCCATCCAAATAATAATAATAATAATAACTCAGAGCCTTTTCTTCCCCCAAGTTTGCTGGTTTTTCATAAATCCATTTTTAAACAAGTC